GTTCGCCCATGGGCCAAACAAATATTGTTTAGCGAATCTCGTCTGCGACCTGAATTTTGTTGACAAGAATACATGAACAGACGGACGGACAGACATGCATAAACCGACTCGGAAAGTGATTCTATGAAGATCGTTAAAATTAACTATAGGTCTATCTTCTATTCCTTACCGCTATGTAGTGTAGGGTATAAAAATCACACAACGATGAGACTATTATTTAAAAAAGAAAAATAAAGATTGGAGTCAACTTTCACTCACTTTTGAGCAACATAAACATCAAAAGAATTGGGATGAAAACTTTTTTGTTTCACATCAATTTGAACACTTTAAACATTCGATAATTTATCACTTTTTTATAAACTAAGACAAAAATGTAGCCAACTGTTTTGGCAAGCGCACAGGCTGACGGGCAGCCCGTTTATTTACACGTGATATTATGTCCACCAAAGAACCAGTTGAAGGTGTTTCACTTATGCAACATACATACATATACCCATGTGGTAGCCTATATGTTGTTGGATATGAATGAGAAGGTATGCACCGCAATTGCTTTGCCCCAAGTGGCATACCATTTACGTTCATACAAAATCTCAAAAGTTGCAATATTTTGCGTTTTACACATGGAGGTTCATTAAGGGAATCTGAGTAAAGGCGAAACCGGTATTTAAATGTGTAATGTCCATACAATAACATACACAAGTCTTGTTTCATTTACGCTCAAAAAATGACACAATTTTTTAAAATATATTGACATGAGTTTTGTATGTACATTAACGATGTGCTTGCAAATTGATATGTAGTATCTTAATTTGGACAGGTTTGAGGTAGATTATCTTTGATGACTGTCTTGTCTGACCATACATGCCATGACAAATTACAGTGTCATAGTAACAACTTTTCCTCAAACACACCAAATATCAATATTGATGTACCCAGTATCAACAATATGAATGCAATTTTTAACCAGTAAGGAAGGGATAAAAGTTGGGAGGACCGATTTTAGGTTACCGTACACATCTATACATTTAATATTTATACCAAATTAGGACGAGAAATGATATGCAGATGGAGATCGATCTACGTCTTCTTATGTTATTAAATAGAGGAAAAATTTTCCAGAAAAAAAAAACAAGTAAAAAAGCTGTAAGTACACCAAGCCGAACTTTGAATACCCTCCACCATTTGTGACAAATTTGGCAATTAAAAAAAAAATAAAATCCGTAAAAAAAATCTTAAAAATACCGAATGTTGCCGTTATATTAGGGTCTATACGACGATGTGGACCTATATAAGCAACTTCTGTTATAAGCCATTACACACAATTTCCTGTCATAGGCTGTACAGGGTGAAATAAAAAAAAACTGCATCAAAGTCAAATGTCATAACTTTTACATTATTTTTTAAATTTTATTGAATGAAAGCAAAAAATGTCGGGAATAGCATCAAATTTTAGAATAAGTTTAGATTTTCGAATTGGTCACCTTTGGCACGATTTATTGGTATCCGGAGATTTTGGAAGCCATTGTGCGTTGGAAATGAAGCGAGGAACCTCATTTTGTAACCATTCTTGGGTGGTGCTGAGTTCTGTTGGGATGTCCAAGGTCTACGGCGAAAATGTTTGCGTGCCCAAGGCTTTAGTACACAATATTTTCACGATATTAGACATTTATTCTGATGCCTCGTTCGATTAATAGGAGTGGAGAGCGACCATCGCCCGTTATGGCGGCCCACACCATCACCATGGTCGGCGCTTGAGTTCTGGTGGTCAACCGAAGGTACACATTTTCAGCAGACCTCTTTGGCAAGTAAACACGAAAATTTTGTTTGTTTACAAACTGCTGGGCAACGAATGTTTTCTCATCGGAAAAACCAAATTCGGCAGTTCACCACTTTCGGCCAAGCGAAGCAACTCTTTAGCTCTTTTGAGTCTATTTTCTCCATGATGCGGTGTTCTTGCACTTTTTGGAATTTCAGTGGCTTTACCCCGAGCTCATTTTTCAATATTTGCTGAATGGAATATTGCGATATGTTCAGCTTTCGAGCCATTCGTTCATCGTTTTCGAAGTGTCAGTGAAATAATGCTGGAGAGTCAGTTACCATTAATGGAGACCGGTATAGAGCCATGATAACAGATTATTTTGTTCCCGAATTGGATGAGTTGTCGTTCCAACAAGATGGCGCTACATGCCACACAGCGCACGTCACTATCGAATTATTGAAGGAAACATTCGATGAGCGCAAAATTTCGCGAAATGGACCTGTCTATTGGCCACCAAGATCGTGTGATTTTATCATTGGATTATTTTCTTTTGAGATATGTGAAGTCGCTCGTCTACGCCAACAAACCAGAAACGTTAGTGGACTTGGAAGCCAATATTCGTGGCGTTATTGCCCCATATACTCGAAAAAGTGGTTTAAAATTGGACCTGTAGAATTGGTTTTATTCGAGCCAGCCGAGGAGGCCACATGCCCGAAATCATATTTAAATATTAAAGCCAAATTGATCAATATTAAAACGATTTTCTTGTGTTTTATTTCAATTCGAAGTTCTATACCTCCATAAAAAAACACCACTTACCCTCCATACTATGGTGGAGGATATAAAAACATTTAAAATGTTGCATGCGATCGAAGCAAGGTGACTTATTTTTTCTGACCTTTTAAAATGGAAATACCCATATCGACACCCTCCAATAAAGCCAAATTGATCGATATTAAAACTATTTTCTTGTGTTTTATTTCAATTCGAAGTTCTATACCTCCATAAAAAACACCACTTACCCTCCATACTATGGTGTAGGATATAAAAACATTTAAAGTTGCATGCGATCGAAGCAAGGTGACTTATTTTTTCTGACCTTTTAAAATGGAAATACCCATATCGACTTTTGTTATCATAAATGATTTTTTATTTTCTTATCAATTGAAAATACACTCAAAAAAAAGTTGTAAGTCTCGCAGCTTTTAATTATTTTTTTTTTTATTTTACAAACATCAGCATGCATAACAAAGCCCGTATTGCATTATATTTCTAAGCAATGACAAGTACAAGGAATAACAATTGTTTTTATACCCTACACCACATAGTGGTAAGGGTATTATGTCTTTGTGCATTTGTTTGTAACATGGAGAAGGAAACGAGATAGACCCATAGTTACTTTTGAGAACCTTCATAGAATCACTTTCTGAGTCGATTTATGCATGTCCGTCTGTCCGTCCGTCTGTCCATGTATTCTTGTGAACAAAATGCAGGTCGCATTTATTATCCGATTGAGATGGAATTTTCCAAACAATATTCTTTTGGCCCAAGGACGAACCCTATTGAAATTGGTGAGAATCGGATCAAATTTAGATATAGCTCCCATATATATCTTCATCCGATTTCGGGTTAAATGAGCACCAAATGTCCACTATCAGTCCAAATTACCTGAATTTTGGCACACCCAACCTAGTTCGGCCTAGAAGCAAGTATATCAAATTTGGAGAAAATCGGTTCAGATATAACTATAGCTCCCATATATATCCTTCATCCGATTTGATCTTTAAGTCCCTCACATTCCTACTATGCACTCCACAACCGTGATATTTGGTACCAGGTATTAGATGGAGCACAGAAATAGCTGTTTTAAATTTTATCGAAATCGGTTCAGATTTGGATATAGCTCCCATATATATCTTCATCCGATTTCGGGTTAATTGACCACCAAATGGCCAATATCAGCCCAAATGGCCCGAATTTTGGCACATGTGACCGAGATTAGCCTTAAAGCAAATACAACAAATTTTATTTTTATTCGATTTTGGTGTTTAAGCCTCTCACATTCGTAATATGCACTCCACAAGAATGATATTTGGTACCAGATATAAGATACAGCCCAGAAATAGCTGTTTATAATTTTATCGAAATCGGTTCAGATTTGGATATAGCTCCCATATAAATCTTCATCCGATTTCGGGTTAATTGTGCACCAAATGGCCGATATAAGTCCAAATGGACTGAATTTTAGTACATCGGACCAAATTCAGCCTAGAAGCAAGTATATCAAATTTAGTGAAAATCGGTTCAGATATAGATATAGCAACCATATATATGTTTCATCCGATTTAGTGTTTTAGTCCCATACATTCGTAATATTCACTCCACAACCGTGATATTTGGTACCAGGTATTAGATGGAGCACAGGAATAGCTGTTTTAAATTTTATCGAAATCGGTTCAGATTTGGATATAGCTCCCATATATATCTTCATCCGATTTAGCGTTAAATGTGCACTAAATGGTCAATATCAGCCCAAATCACCTGAATTTTCGTACATAAGACCGAATTCAGTCTAGAAGCTAATACGTAAAATTTGGAGAAAACCGGTTCAGAGATAGCTATAGTTCGTAAAATGCACGATAGAATTAGATAGATTTTGATTTTGTACCAAATATCTCATAGAGCTCTGAAATGCCCTGTATAAACCTTTTTACGAGAGCTCTACTAAATATGCATAGTGGTGTAGGGTATCATATAGTCGGCCCCGCCCGACTTTTGAGCTTTCCTTACTGGTTTTTTAATATCTACATTCCTGAGACTTACAAAATCATTGGTTAACTATTTTTGGAATCTATAAACATGTTTATGAAATAATCTATTAATTAATTTAAGCTCTAGGAGGGAGTACTACATTTGGCATAGAGGGTAGGAGAAGAAGTGAAAATATAAATTTTGTTATTAGGAACACTGTGATTATCTATCGCTTAGTTAGGAATTCAAATTGGAGGTTAGTACTTTAAGATATGCGAAAAGAACTAAATGGTAATAAATTTGATATGTAGTGTGGGAAAAGAACTGGAATTTTGTTATCACCATCACTGTATAAAAGTGAATCGTTTTGATAAGAAGGTTTGGTTGAAAATACACAGTATATAGTAGGAGATAGTACTAAATAGTATAAAAATTTTTATAGAGTGTAGGAATAGAGCTGGAATTATGAGGTACGGGTGCATGCAATTTATAACGTTAGTTTTGAAATGCATAAATATTTTCCCATTTTAGCAATGAAGTAACGAGCTGGCATTCGACTTATCTGCTTTGAGATATATTTAAAATTGTCATCATTGGCGAACATACGAACAAAAGTCAAATTGAATCTTATCGAAACATAATTTTTTCCAGTGCACAGATAAGCGTACCCCCTAGCCAAGTAATTATTTTTATTTAACAGCTCTTCAGTATTCCACTGAACGTCAAACTCGAAGCATAGAACACAAAGAACTACAAAAAAGTAAAAAAAAATACAAAAAATAAGCATGGATTACGAATTGTCGGAACAACAAAAACTACATTTAAAAATAAGGTGATGTTGTGTGTGTATGTGCAGATTAGTAAACAATAAAGTGGAGAAAAAATGAACAAACAACAAACCAATGCTTGTGTGTTTTTAACAGACATTCTTAATGCACTTTAAACAATATTCTTATCAAAAAAGCGATTATCTACAATCTCAAGCAGATTAAAGTTTTAGAGCTCCATATTATACCTGTATTTTAAAAATGTAATTTTTTTCCTACAGAACTTTGGAATTTAGAATAGATCAGCTGCAGAAACGTCTTAACGATGAAGACGTTTCGATTAAAGTCCACACCGGAAAAATTCGCGGATCTAAACGCCTAACCATTTACCGCAAGGCGTATTACAGTTTTGAACGCATACCTTACGCCTTGCCTCCGGTGGGTGAATTAAGATTTCGGGCTCCGAAACCGATAACCGCATGGAAGCATGTTAGAGATTGTACCTGGCATGGTCCGAAGGCCATGCAACGAAATCCCATGGATCCAATGACCATTGAGGGATCGGAAGATTGTCTCTTTTTAAATGTCTATACAAATAATGTATGTATGTTGTGTATGTATTTTAGTTCTGTTTTTTTTTTAATTGTGTTCGCATTACATTGCATGTTTAGATAAAACCCATTAAACTTCGACCCATAATGTTTTGGGTCCATGGCGGAGGATTCCAATTTGGCGAAGCAAATTGTGAACAATATGGCCCCGACTATTTTATGATGAAAGATGTGGTACTGATTACAGTTCAATATCGTATGGGAGCGTTGGGTAAGTAATACTATAATGTGTCTCCATACATCTTCAAATCTCAATTCCAGATTCAAACAGAGACCTTCATATCAAAGATGACGATTCAAGCCCTATCCCTTCACCCAATACTAAATTATGTTCCATTTAGTGCTTTTCCTACAAATTTAGGACGCATTTGCAAACCGTCGGCAATCTAAGATACCATCAGTAATATAAATATCAAATTTCAAAATTACGTCTCTATCCCTTCACCCAATACCAAATATAGTATAATTTAGTACTTTTCGTGCAATTATAGTACATGTTTTCGAAACCATCTCAATATATCCAGGCTACACATGAAAAGCGATCATAATACCAAATTTAAAACTGCAAGCACCATATCTTCACTCGATACCCAATTGGATTCCAGGAATTTCGGTATTCCTATTCACAATTTAGTTCCACTAAGTACTTTTCGAACAATTATCCATCCATATGTCCAGGCTGCACATAACCCAAATTTCAAACTGCAAGCACTGTCTGTCTACCCAATACCAAATTGTACGAAATATAGTACTTTTCTAACAATTATTTTCATATCGCAAATCCAGATACCAACAGAGACCTCAATATCAATTTTGAGGATTCCAGCTCTATTCCTTCACCCAATACTAAATTATGTTCCATTCAGTACTCTTCGTACAAATTTAGGACGCATTTCCAAACCATCGCCAAATCTAAGACTCAGGTACCATCAGTAATCTAAATATCAAATTTCAGAATTTTAATTTTATCCCTTCACCTAATACCAAATAAAGCACCATTTAGTACTTTTTGTACAATTATAGTACACATCTCCGAAACCATCTCCATATGTACAGTCTACCCATGGACAGCGATCCTAATACCAAATTTCAGATTTCAAACACTATATATTCACACAATACCAAAATGTACCAAATATAGTACAATTTAGTACTTTTCGAGCACTTGTAGTACACATTTCTAAAACCACCTCTTCATCACAAACTTACCACCACCACAAAATTTCAAAATTCCAGCTTAATCCATTCTCCCTAAACCAAAGTGTTCGAAATTTAGTGCCATTCAGTACAGTTCGCGCACTTAGTAGACATTTCCAAAACCACTTTATATATCCAACCTGATTCTCGTACAAAAATTCAAGTTTCTAGCTCTATTCGTTCACATAATACCAAATGGTACAATTTTAGAAGTTTAGTATCATTTTAAAACTTTTCGTAACATTAAACCCTTTGATGTACTCTAACAGTGACCCACATTTCAAATTTCAGAATTCTTACTCATTCTATTTGTCCGATACATGGTATTTAATTTCTAGAACATTTTAATAATTTTCGTAACCTTTTAGTACGAATTTTCCAGCCTTATCAAGCGCCTACGTACCAAGACTTACCCTTGTACAAAGTTTTAAGATTCTAACTTCAGCCTTTTCGTCTGGGCGTTGATCCTAGATCAGTCAGTCAGTTATACCACTCCTTTTTCATATATTTAGATAGATATAAAAATTCTAACACTTGATTACAAGGTTTTATTTCTATTTCACAGGCTTCCTCAGTCTTAACGATCCTGGCTTACATACACCTGGCAATGCAGGCCTTAAAGATCTGATTCTTGCACTCAAATGGGTAAAACGAAATGCGACCAGCTTTGGTGGTAATCCTGAATGTGTGACCGTATTTGGTGAAAGTGCCGGAGCTGCGGCCGTTCATTATCTAATGCTTTGCGAACATGCAAGAGGTCTCTTCCATCGCGCCATTCTGCAATCGGGGACAGCCGTTAGCGATTGGGCCATTACTGATTGCACTAAAAGAGCCTATGATTTGGCCAAAAATGCTGGCTATGAAGGCGAATATAAGGAGAGACATATTCTGAAATATCTACTGAAACTGCCAGCCGATGAAATTCTCAAAGCAGAGGCAAAATGTCTGCAGCGAAATGATCGTGAATTGTTCGGATTCGCACCCTGCATAGAGCCCTATTTTACAGCTCATACTGTGATTTGCAAGCCAGCAGAAGAACTAATGGCTCATGCTTGGGGTAATAGCATACCATTGATTTTGGGAGCCAATTCACTTGAGGGACTCTTCTTTAAAAGAAGTAAGTTTTGAAATACATGAAATATGGCAATTATTGAATATGTTTTTTTTGTCTTTTTTAGCTGCTCTTAAGAACAAAGATGCAATTTTACAACTATTGGAGACATGTGCCCAATATGTACCCAAGGCAGCAGCTGTACGCCGTGAAAGTCCCGAGTGTCTGGACAAGGGTTTGAAATTACGCAAAATTCACATTAAAGGCCAACGACCAACATTGGATGACTTTTATGAGGTTTGTGTCATTTGATAGCCCTTTGATGTGGTATGCTTTGGCATGTTATGCTTCACTTGAAGTTCTATGTGTGTGTGTGTGTGCACTCTGTGACCAGTTTAACTTTCTTTACAGATCATTACATTCGCTTATTATTGGCATCCCATACAGAAAGTCATTGAGGCGCGTTTAAAGTATGCCCGCAAAACTCCAACATTTTTGTATCGTTTTGATTTTCGTTCGGATAAACTTATAAATCCTTTCCGTTTAATGCGTTCCCCAGACTGGGACGATGCCGATGAATCTGGTGGAAAAGGCGATGTCAAAGGTGTGGCACACACCGATGAACTTGCTTTCCTCTTTAGCAGTATTCTAGCCGAACCAATGGACCGGCAAAGCCGTGAATATACCTGTTTAAAACGCATGATTTCAATGTGGACACAATTCGCTGAGGCAGGAAATCCAAACAGTGCTAAAACGCCGGATAACAAATGGCGTTCGCTGCACCACCGACATAACAACGAGGAGGCATACAAATGTTTGAATATCGACGATAGCTTAACATTCATCGATTTGCCGGAAATGGAAAAACTTAAAGTGTGGAAGGGCTTATACGAAATGCATCGCACAATGCCGGAAAGAGCCAGAGCCGTTGATGTAATTGCATTTGCACAATCCTCCCTGTAAAATGGCCATGGAACGAACGAAAGCATTATGTTATATATTTTAAATATTTGTTTTTAATACAGTATTTGTTGCATTTTGTGTATTTGACGATGATGATGACAAATAAATATTGAATACAATTTGCCACCAAAGTCTTTTATTATTAGGCTTTCTCACTCACAAGATTCCATAATGATATTTTTCAATATTTTTCTTCTCATATTCTCCAAAATATTTCTGTGTGGAAGAATTGAAGCTAGCGAGCGCTCAAAAACTCTGATTACCAAATAAGGGTCTTCTTAACAACTTTTAGCAGTTACGACTATTCAAAATCAACATCGGAAAAAATAAATATATTTTACTCCACGGTAACGAACGTTAACGGTTGTTTCACAAGTCATCGTATTTTTATCATAGCCTCAGCCAAATAAATACAGATGACAACAATACTACGGGTTATAATCATAAATTGTCGATTAACGTAATACAGAACTTTCCTGAGAATCGGCTACTGTAATTTAGCCGGTGATGTTAATATGGCATTATTTATTTTTTTTTTACTTATTACTTAAGTATATTTTTGACTTATTATTTAAGTATATTTTGACTTCTGTTATGATTATTCAAATTGTTGACCCTCTATGAAGTAGGTTCCGAGGTAATGGACCAATTTCGTATCGGATCTAAATAAAAATGATATAAATATTGTGAAGTGCCAGGTTTGGTTACTTCCTTCACTTTATATGAGATATGTGATAATTTTTAGAAAATGTTGAAATGAGGTACCACATATAGTCGACCGATTTATTCCATTTTCACACTTCATCCGACACAGAAAAAAATATTGGTATGACAAAATTACAGAAAATCGAACATTTATACCCAATTTTTTTTTTGTTATGACAGATAGAAGTATTAAAAATTGTGACTCTTTGTGGGTGAGATACCAGAAGGGGTTGGCAGATGTATATCATCTTTCAACAGATCTTGCGTTAGCAAAAATATTTGTATGTGTGAAATTTGAAGAGAGCTGTATGCTTATTTCGCTTTCCTTGAGCGTTTGGTTTTTCAAAATCTTGAACCCTATGTGATCCGATCTCTATCATCTTTATAACAGATCTTGTGTTGATGGAAATATTGTAATGTACCAAGTCTAAAAGGAGTCGGATGTTAATTTCGAGTTTTTTATGAGCTCCAGAGATATTCAAAATTTTGACCCTTAGTGGGAAGGTACCAAAATGAGTGGATCGATATATTCCATCTTCACACCAGACCGTGAGTTAATAAAAATATTGTGATATATGTTATTTGAAGACAATTTGACTCTTACATCACATTTTTATATGAGTTATAAATATTCAAAATTTTGTTCCTTTGTGGGGAGGTATTTGATGGAGTAGACCGATATCGTCCATTTTCTAGAACTGATAGAAATATTTGAATTTGCAAAGTTGGAGCAAAATCGGATTATCTTTGTATGCAGTAAAATATTTTTTCTCAAAATTTCGACCTTATGCACTAGCCGGCCAACCAGACGCACCGACGGACGGATGGACGGCCATCGCTAGATCGACTCCAAATGTTCTGAAACGGATTTGGCCCAAACGGACCTAGAGTCTAAAACCGTCATTTCGATGTGGCACGTTTTGGCCGCATCGAATGATATACATATACCCTCTCTAGCCATATGGCTGAGGGTATAATCAATGTTTTAATATCTATGAAGTGTTATTCGATTTAAATTTACCTAAGGTACTTGCCGACAGAACATTGATGGGTATCTTTTCGCAATATCAATTATGAATATTATTTTCGTAAAACCTGTTCCATTTAGAAAGCACGATATTAACTTTCTTCTTCTTGTATCAGTTTGATCTCGATTGAAGATGGCACTGACATGGTTTCATCGCCGATTCCTAACTATTATTAGAGTTATACAAATACTAAGTTGATCGTACCACAATTTTCAATACTTATATCGGTCATAACTTGCGAAACAAGACAGTCATTCTTTACAACTTGCTATATCTTAATACTTCTCTCAACGTGATATGAATATGGAATTGATCGGAATTTACGATTTCGCATAAAATTGGATAAAAATGTTAAATTTTCTTGTAATTTTGCCCATACCAGTATTTTAATATGTATTAGATGAAGTGTAAAAATGGAATACTTCGGTCCTCGGTACCTCACGCACACTTCAAAATTTTCTAAAAATTATCACATATCTTATATAAAGTGAAGGAAGTTGTCGATGTAGTCCAAACCTGGCACGTCGTAATATTTATATCATATTTATTTAGGTCCGCTATGAAATGGACAATATTGGCCCATTTCTTCGAGAGGGCCAATCATTTGAATAATCATAACAGAAGTCGAAATATATTCAATTAATTAAACATTGCCTGAGGGTGCACATCTGTCGCCAAACCGGCTGATATTTATACCCTACACCAAATAGCGGTATTATGTCTTTGTGCATTTGTTTGTAACAGGGAGAAGTAAGCGAGATAGACCCATAGTTACTTTTCATAGAATCACTATCTAGGACGATTTATGCATATCAGTCCATCCGTCTGTCTATGTATATTTGTGAACAAAATGCAGGTTGCATTTTTTATCCGATGGAGATGAAATTGTCCAAACAATATTTGTTTGGCCCAAGGACGATCTCATATATATCTTCAACCCATTTCGGGTCTATTGTGCACCAAATGGCCAATATCAGTCTAAATTACCTGAATTTTGGCACCTCTGACCGAATTCAGTCTATAAGCAAGTACATCAAATTTGGAGAAAATCGGTTCAGATATAGCTCCCATATGTATGTTTCATCCGATTCGGTGTTAGAGTCTCTCACATGCGTAATATGCACTCCACAACAATGATATTTGATACGGGGCATCAGATACTGCTCGAAAATACCTCTGCCAATTTTTTTCTTTACTGGTTTAAATTTGTTTTAAATAGGGCTAACTCCGAAATGTCCCTTATGGTGCAAAAAGTTTAACATAATTCAAATTGATAATTAACAAGTAAAAAAGCACATAATTTCGTCGAAAAATGCCGCTCAAACTCCGTTACATGGTGGCTATGAAAATACAGAATATCGAGATGATATACAAAAGCGTGGACCGACATGGACCATTTACGAGCTTGATCTGCCTACTAGCAAAATTCACATACACTTTGTTGGGTCTCACATGAATTTATATCGAGGAGTTACGAGCGGAATGATAAAGTAAATATACCCTCCATTGTGGAGGGTATAAAAAGTGTCTTATTATGTACTTACCATTTATCTGGTCAAAACCGAATAAATATTTATGCTTTCTAAGAATTATGAAGTGTAAGATCGTCGTCATTGTTTTCTACAACATGGACGCATGTTTGGCTTGTGTTGCTGATGTTTGTGGCCATGTGCCGATGCTGATTCGTACACATCTGTGCTGAAGTTGTACATGTTTGTGGTCGAACGGACAGGAACGTATGCAGATGATTTTCGAAACCATATCGGGATGGTCCAATTAAAAACAAGTAAAAAAGCAGTAAGTTCGGCCGGGCCGAACTTTGAATACCCTCCACCATTTGGAACGAATTAGAAAATTTTCAAAAAAATAAAATCCATTAAAAATTCTTTTAAAATCTTTAAAATATCTAATATAGGAAGGTGCCGATATATGGGGGGATATACGATATTGTGGACCTATAAAGACAAATCTATGTCTGAGTGTAAAGTACTCACAAGGAACTCCTTGTGTGGATTTTCAGATAATTCCATTGGAAAAAGTGACTAAAATCATCAAAATACCGAATATAGGGGAGTACCGTTATATGGGGGCTATACGATATTGTGGACCTATATAGATAATTCTCTGCCGAGGGATAAAGTACCCACAAGGAACTACTTGTGTGGATTTTCAGACAATTCCATTGAAAAATGTGGCTAACATCATCAAAATACCGAATTCCGTGGGGTTACCGTTATATGGGGGCTATACAATATTGTGGACCTATATAGATAATTCTCTGCCGAGGTATAAAGTACCCACAAGGAACTACTTGTGTGGATTTTCATACAATTCCGTTGAAAAATGTGGCTAACATCATCAAAATACCGAATATCGGGGGTACCGTTATATGGGGGCTATACGGACGGACATGGCTAAATCGTCTTAGAATTTTACGCTGATCAAGAATATATATATACTTTGTTGGATCTAAAAGGATTATTTCGATGAGTTACAAATGGAATGACGAACTTAATATACCCTCCATACTTTTTTTGGTGGAGGGTATAAAAATGAACTTTTCCATTTCCCGACATTGATGATAATTAGTACGAAACTTCATACACATCCATTATATATTTGAAAAATTTTGCGAAATCGGCTACAATTTTCTCTTGTAGCATCCTTATCACATTTTTCCGAATATTAAATATTTGGTCACATTGAATATTTGGACTATACCAAATAGTGGAACTGCACTGAAAATACCTGGTCCATTCGGAGACCAGAAATGGGGGTGGCATAATATTGAAACTTTATCAAATCGTAGGTAAATATAAACCAACTTCGTTCACAAGACACCAATTCACATTATTCTAGTCTTCTGTCTTAATTCGTTTCGATGATAAATAAAAAATAAATACTTCGTAAAATTAAAATGAAGTGAAAAAATACATTAAACTTTTAATGTAAATTCATTTTAATTTAAGTTGCTATTATATATTATTACATTCAGATAATTCTTAAATATGTGTACGAACACATACACACAGACGTAACAAAATCCATAGATAAAGATAATAAAAATATTCACCATATTGCAGAAATCAGATTGTTATTATATCAATGTTTATAGGGCACGTTGTGCCATAATTCCTATTGTGAATAGAAAAATGTTTAACTTTTCAAACCACTTTCGAAAAACAACCTCCACTAAACACAAGAATATCTTTTTCGGAGAAAAACAAATTATATCGGCAAACTAATCCTTAAGTATACATAATACTTATTTACAATATTGTCGTTAGGTCCTTCAATTTAAAAAGGGTTGTGAAGCCAGCTAAATATTTTTTCCCCTCCACCATTTATTTGGGAAAAATCACCAAACATGGGAAGAAGAATGGAAA